TGCTGGGAGCGCACAGAGCATGTGCTCTCAGCACATTTTTGTTTACAAATGGGACTGGGTCAAGGCCCAGCCGCTGAGAGGCCATATATTTTGTGTACGGTCAGCGTGAAGAGTTTAATTTCTCTGTTTGCCTGTGAAGAACATAAGTGACAATTTCTTCCCAAATGCAACTATTTTGTACATCATTATTTTGTACATCATGGTTTTTTATAAACACTGCCACACAGGGCTACACAAGGTTTGCAAAACAGGAGCAGTGATTAAATATTTTAAGACAGATTTACTGTAAGGTTGCAACTTGATTGCAGAAAAACAAACAAAAAAAAATCACATACTGTATATGATGCAGTCTCTCACGAGTTATAACACGTTTTTCAGAGTCCTCCCATAATATAGTTTTATTACCTGTTGGTTCTGCAAGTAAATCTTCCACCTCTTTTAACAGGGTGACAACATTGGTCATTATGCAACAAACAGCAGCATTGTCAACCTGTGGGACAGAGTAGTCTTGGATACATATGTAGGTTAAATAGACTTTAGGGAAGAGACAAACAAATTTAAGCCCAACTTCATCTTCCACTTTAAGCGTAGGTTTATACTAGAATGCAGTGTGGGAAACCCTTGATCCGTGCGAGTTTCTTGCACCACATTCAGATTACCCTGCCCTTGTGATCTGCAGCAGTCGCCAATGCAATCTTAACAACACCCCAAATGCAGGTTGCAAACTCAGCATGTTTGTCTGCACCAGATCGCATAGTACAAAATGACCATCCGATCCAGGTGCATGCACGTCTTTGGTGCTATCCGGTGCAATTTGAGCCATTCAAAATGAATGGGCTGAGATCACACCGCACCGAATCACATGTGAATTGCACAGGAATATGGTGTGGTTCCTGTGCGATTCCCATGCAGTTCATAGTGTGAGCCTAGGCTAAAACAGTTACAGTGACTTTTTTGTTCCTTTGGGAAAAAGAATGAAGGCTTAAAAGAGAAGTTTAGTTTTTTTTGTTTTTTTTTTTCTAGAAATTATACTTAGGTGGAGCAGCATCTGTCCCCGGCCAGCTCTAAGACTGAGAACTAAGTGATCAAAGACTGCTGATCGCTCAGTTTCCAGTGCTCTGTGAGCAGAGAGCTGTTGACTGTCAGTCACTGCCTGCTGTTCTGCACCCCCCGCTATCACTGGAGCATTGAGCTGTGGAGGGGGCAGGCTTTCAGCGGATAGCTGAGAGGCTGAGCTAGGTGGCGATCCAGACATTTGGGTGAATCGGCTGAGTAATATCAGCCAACAGCAGAATTTAGCCCACTGTCGGCTGTAAACGGGTCACAGGAGTGCAGAACAAACTGTGATTCACAGGAGAAGTACAGCCAAAGGAGCTTTGGCTGTAGTTCTGCTTTAATTGAACTTTCAGTTGAAATCAGCTGACTAAATGTCATGTGCATCAAAGTCCTACAAATTTTGTTTAAAAAGCAGCTACAGTATTCAGTAAAAAAACTGATCCCTACCAGCATGCCCAAACGGTATCTCTGCAGAAGTCCAATGCACCCTCTGTGGGCCAGGGCTAGAGCTCTCTCTCTGATTTCAAGGCTATAGGTCTGGCTCAGCAAGGGGCATGTCAAACCTCTGCAGAGAGACCCCTGCTTTCACACGGAGAGCACAGATTCTTCTCTGCAGCATGCTGGCAAGGGACAGGCTTTTCTACTCAGCTTTCAAGAGAAAGTGATCTGTAAGCCTTTGAACATGTTTGTTTTGTTGTCCCTGGAATGTATTTAGCAAACTTAAACTAATGGGTAAATTGAGCTTTAAGTCATTTCAATAAAAGCTGACTATAATGAACACACCCCCAGCAATGTTATAAGGTTTCTTGCAACCCCTCCAACAGCTATTTCTTTGACAGCTTGGCCTGTTACAGGTAGTGGGAAATGAACAGATTTACTGTCAGAATCAACAGGTAATGGTACAGGGGGGACTCAGTAAAACAAGAACTTCTGTATTAGCTAATGACAGACTGTGTCATATTTTATTTTACCCACAGTTCTGCTTTAACTGTTGATAAGTGAAAAAAAAAACATTGTTGCATATACAATGTTCATTAGTATTTCATCCTGAAATTTTACAGATCCCAAATGTAAATATTTTTTGTTGCATTTGTTTGTCTCCAAAATTAGTGTTAGCCATGGGGTTGATACTAAAACTGCAGAGTGCAAAATCTGGTGCAGCTCTGCATAGAAACCAATCAGGTTGCAGGTTTTTTTTTTTTTGTCACAGATTAAAAGAACAAGCTTAGGTTAGAAGCTGATTGGCTACCGTGCATGGCTGCACCAGATTTTACACTGTTCAGTTTTAATAAATCAGTCCCAATGTGTTCTCCATAGAGATACTCTATGGTGTTTGCATTTGGGGAGGTCTACTCTGTATTCTCTTACAATAATATGTTTTAAAATACTTGAATTATTTCATTACAATGTGTTGGCCATTATTTTTAATAATGGCCAACGTTTGAAATTACAAATAGCCAAAGCTAGTGCAAATGCACACATTTTTTTCTACCTGTTTAGTGGTCCTCAGTGTTTAAGAGATGTGTCAATTGAATCATCCATTTGATGTCCTGCTAAACTGCAAAATCTGCAACTTATTTTCCTCTTCCAAGTGTGCCTGCCTCTTGGGAGAGTGGCAAAGTTTGTGCCAATACCTTCTTAACACTGAAAAACCTCCCACTCCTGTTCTAATACTTAACAAATAAGCAAATATATCAGTTGGACTTTGTTTTTGTCTTGGATAGAATGGGAAAGAACTAGAATCACTGTTAGATAGTTTTTGCTGTCTTGTTGCTGTATAGACAGCTAATAAAACAGCTGGCAAAGGATTGAACCCTAGCACAATTTATTCAGAAAAAAAAAGGTTTGGCTGGATTTTACTTTTTAAAAACATTTTTGGCAATCTCTGATAAGTACCAACAATGACTTTTTCGTGATTTAACAACGTTATAGTTAAAGCTAACTCCCTGGTATGGATTATATTGCATAGTTACATTGGTTCAGCTTGGAGCAATGTAATTATGCATATGCAATTCCTGTGAGACCGCTGTAGAAGCAGAGAATCACCATAGTATAGCCGATACAACAGAGATCATCACTGTCTTCCAAATCCTGTGCCTAGTCACTGCCCTGCTGCATAGTAACCCCAGGGGCTCGCTCACTAGGCACAGGGGCTATTCATAGAACGTCTTGACTTTTTCTCAGTGAATGCAAGGCATTCTCTGAGTGGACGAGGTGGGGATTGTGACGATACCACCTTGCCTCTCTACCTCGACCAATCAGAACACAATTTGAATTGAGAACAAGGCATTCTGTGAATGGTGCCCATGCTGAGTGAGCTACCCCTTGTGGTATTTATGCAACAGGACAGCCGCTCAATATGAGGGTACAGGATTGCCATAGTAGCAATAATTATAGTTATTATCTGCTTCCACAGGGATACCACAGGTATGGTATATGCATACTTGCCTTGGTCCTAGATGGGGCAATGTAACTATGCAATAACGTCTATACCTGGAATCCAGCTTTACCCTGATAATATCTATTGTTTGTATTGACAGCACTACCTCTGCTGCTGAAACCCTCCTACAGTTGGAACTAAACTTTATCAGTCTTATTAAACTGTAAAAATATGTGGCAAATTAATGTATATATAAATGCCTTCAGGCTGAAAAAAAAACACTACACACAATACAGCATGGACGGATAAATCTCCCACTTTTGCTAAAGTCAGAACATGTTAGGCAGGACGGGGCTTACAGGGTCACCCACTAAGCAAAATTCAGTGTATGGCCAGCTTTAGCCAAATCCTCCTTCACTTTTGGCATACATGCCCCTGCCCCCCTCCCGGACATTGCAGCTCACAGCAGCAGAGGTAGTGCTGTCAATCCAGAAAAGATTGGGCAAGACTAGGTATGGCCAACTTCTTATTGATAAGCTATGGACTTGTGGATCAGGAGGGACAATGCACTCCCCGCAGCTCATTTGTCTGTAGTGCAAGCAGACAAAGACTATATGAGTGTGATATCCCTGCTTGGAATTCAGGTGTAGTACAGAAGTCTTTTAATCCCATCAGAGGAAGTTCCAGGAGCGAGACATTACTGGCAGGTTCAACAGGTATTTGTGGGACTTTACAAGGGGACTAAACTGCAAGTGCTTAGCATTCTTAAAAAAATCGCCACTCAGCTGCGATTTTTTAAAGTGCACTACACACTGCTGGATGGTGATATTTTCAGCCAGCACCCCAAACCTGAGCACCAGCAGGACTATACACATTCTCCTTCTTTGCTTAGAGTGGCATTACAAGTATTAACTAGTCAAACTGCAAGTACTGGTGCACTTACAGTGAAAGTGGAACGTTAAAGCGGAAAAAAGAATTGCAAGCTTTTTATTACAGAAGAGACATCTTATAGCTCTTCTGCAACAAAAACTACCGTAAGTGTAAGCACACTTTATGTCCGCTTTAAGTGCTCTAGGACATATTTTAGAATGGTAGACCATAGTTCTACTTTAAGGGTTTGATTTAATTAGATTTTTAACCTTAACATTATAGAAGCCATCATTTATATTAATGCGTAGTATGAGGGTTATATAGAATTGCTGAATTTGCTGAATAAATGCAATATTCATTCCTATGATCTTTTTGTCATTGTGTTGTTTATATGAATGTGTATTAAAAATTTACCTAGTTCATAGAAAGTCAAAAGCAGGTATCCATATTAATGTGACAGAGAGTCTAGAGAGAACGCAAGTTACCCACACCTTTGCCAGCTGGTAGATAGTCTAGAGAGACGAGGACTCACTGTAGTATGACGCCTGAGGAGGGTATTCAATTCCAGGTAAACTGAAATTAGAAAATTATTCTAAATTATGCAGTAATGTAAATGCTTATAAAGTGTAGAGTTCTGCATTATATCACACTTTTGTTAAGTAGATTGTCAAGAGCAGGGCACAAATTATAAGGATCATGTTTTTGAAGATGGGCAGTTATTAGTATAGTCTCTGCCCACTGTTGTCAAATCCCATGGTTGTTCTAAGAATTCTGAAGTTTCCTCTGCAATCTGCCCAGGGATCCGAAAGTCTACTGCAGGATGTTCCCCTTTAGGGGAAATGTGAATAGCTGCGCGAGTGTCTGGTGGGCAACCTGTTCCCTGCAAAAATTGAAGGAAATTTTCTTCAATGGACCCTTCTCTGCTGGGTAGTCGAAGCTCATCCTCCCTTGATCCACTCCTCTTAAAAAAACAACCAACCCATCTCCCTAGCTCTTCACGGATTTGACGATTCAGGCAACCATAAAAAATTGGATTAGAAGCAAAGCACAGAAATCCCATCCATGTTACTGCCCATTCCAATCGTGATCCAGGTAGTGGAGGGGGAGAACATAGTGCAGCATATAGATGGAAACCAAAATAAGGTAGCCAACACAAAAGGAATTGACCCCCTACTGCTGCTAATACAGCTGCAGCTTTTCCACCACTTCTGGAACCACCAGCAGACACTCGCTGCTGTGGAGTTCCACGTGTAACTCCAGACCCTGTCACCATGGTGGATTGACTGCTGAGAGATTCTGAGTGTCGGTGCTGAAGTGATGTGTCCATCCATGTTGGAAGGGGCCCTTGGTGGAGAGCAGCCACACGTGCCACCCTAAACATACTGCAGTAGACAACAATTATGATAGTCAAAGGCAATAAGAAGTAAAAGGAGGAGTAAAAGAGAAGAAACCCTGCACGGAAGACACTGTTGCCACCTCCTTGCAGACTGCAATGTCCAGGAACAGTAGGATTCCATCCTAGTACTGGGATTAGGGATGTCAGCAATGCCTTAATCCACACTCCAGCCAGTACCCAACTAACTAGTCCCATAGTCATTTTGACTTGATACCTCATCGGATGAACCACATAATAATATCTCTCAATATTGATGGCTGAGATTGACAAAATGCCTGTGCTGGTTAGACAAACAGTCAAGAAGAGGTAGGCACGGCAGGCCATCTGCCCAAGTCCCTGGCCTTCATACAGGGAAGTACCTCCACTTCCTGACAACATTGCCAAGGGCATGAGTGTAAGTGCAGCCAGGAGATCCACCACACACAAGTGGAAGACCAGAACAAACTTCCTGAGGGATGGAGTCTTCATGATGACCCCCATAACAGCCACATTCCCTGCTATTGCCACTAGGTCCATGAGAAGCATGATGAAGAGAGCTCCATAATGGGGATTTGTTGTAATATGTCTCCCTGAAGTATTGAAAGAAAAGTTCCATGTGAGAGAGGGAAGGGAGGTATCCATGAGAATGATTTGGGCAAAAGGTCACCATCACCCACTTGCTCACAAGACCATCACCCATCATCCCTCAAGAAGCGAGGTGGGACCTGAGAGAATCAACAATGAATGGGAGCAAGAAAAGTGTGGAAAGCAAATAAGGATCTCAAACGGGAGGAGGGCTAGTAAAGCAAAGAAACACTCAAAAAGCAGAAATAAAGATTACAATGGAGGACAAAAGATTAACATAAACAAAATGAGGGAATAGAAGGAAAAAGGGAAGAGGGGGTCAAAGGTTAGATTAGGGCAAGGGAAAAAGGGGATAAAGGAATCTGTTCAAATTTTGTCACATTTCACATAGATATTTGTCACATACAGCTGTTTCTTGTGCCAGTACAGTATTATCCCTTCTTGTATTTAAATGCATGATTATCATTACTGTGGGAATAGATGCATTGCTGGAACTTGTGCAAATTCTTCTTCTTTATTTGGGCTTGGTGGTCCGTCTTTCATGTAATTAATCCAATGTTATGGGTTTTGCAATCCCACACATATTACAACGGATTATTACTCCTCAACAGATTATATATCACCGTATGTCTCCATTGTTATACTGCAGGTTAACACTTGATGATAAACCAGTACTGAGTAGCCCCTTCATTTAATTACATTTTCTTGGAATGCATGCATTCTTCAGGAAGAACATGTCTATGCAGAAATGAGAAGGGCTGGTCAAACTTAGTGTTTGCTCTGTAAGGAGTCTCTGCTTGTAGGATCTTCATTTAGAGAGATGTTTCTTTAAATCCAAATAGACTGCTCCCTGGGATTCTGCAAGTGTATATGACCTGCATGGAGAAATACAAATGGTTAATTCCATTTTGCTGGATGCATGATTTTCCAGTAATAAAAATATCCAATAAAAAATTTTAAGCATATACACAATGCAGATTCTGTATGTAGGCTTGTTATAGAATCAGTCTCTCTCACTCTATATATATATATATATATATATATATATATATATATATATATATGTATGACGTGTGTGTTTGCGTGAGACAGACAGGCACACACAATCACACACACGCATATTTGTTAGGTAGCTTACATATATACATATACTTATCACAGATTTCTTAAATAGAATCTATATAATAATCATCATTTTCCCTAAACCTTTACCCATCACAGTCTAGATTCTCATAATACACATCCTCCCATATAGCACCTGCAAGTCCAACCACCCTTTTCACTATACACCTGCATATTGCTCTGTGGCAAACCATTGCATATTTTTCATTGTCTGGATTTTTAGAGTTATTTGTGAAAACCACTTGTTTTTTTACATACCTGTCTGCAAGAGCTGCAGCTACATCCAGGGAGCAGGAGACCAGAGAAGCAGCTCGCCCCTAACAATCTAATGCACAGCATTGCAGTGAGGAAGCTGACAGGCACAGGGTCCTATAGTTACTCAGCTTAGCACAGCCTTAGCAGGAAGATATCACAGACCAATTCTCTTCTCCCTATTGCATTAACAGCATTACAATGGCCCATTCTTTATTTTGTAACATTTTAATAGGAAAAGAAATCCTGTGATTTGATGCAGCAGATACACTTTATGTCTAATTAAGTAAAATGGTGCAAAATGAAAAGATCTGCAAAGTCCATTAATTTTGACATTGTCAGATAAAGTGAGTTTCTCTAAGCAGTAGCCTGAATAGTCAAGCATTTTTTCTTTATTAGCGAGGTGTACTTTTTTAGCAATGGATCAATAAAATATAGGAGCCATCTTTACAAAGGAACATTTCTGGTTATTTATATTTTTGCTGGGTCTGATATTTTACATTAAGCACCAAAGATTTCAAGCATATATCCACTCATTGCAGTCAAATTTCAGAAAATACCACTGTGTGTTTGTTATGTGTTTCCATTTACACAGCACACCTAAAGAATGTTTTAAAAATATTTCTTACTTTTTCAGTGTTTCTCAGGAGTTGTCATGCCTGACTGCAAGGGTTTTGATCAATGTTCAAGTGAGCTTGTCCCAAGTCTGTCCTTATTAACATATATTGAAAGAAGCCCAACCTCTACACCCTTAACTTTTTATTAGGTGACTAATGTTTCCTTGTTCTGGCTTACTAATACAAAACAATGCATCCCAAGCCTGGTTAAAGGGCCATATAGGGATGGTTTTTACCTTAACTGACCTAATACTAATAATGAACTGACCAAGCCCCTTCAGGATTTGTGTTATCTTCCTTAAAGGGTAATACTGCTTTCCAAGAGTTACGATTAATCATTACTACCAATTATTCCTGTATAGAACACAACCGAAACTGAAATAAGTTAGTCTCTCACTAGTGCTACTATATGCACGGCTGCTTTGATCATCCGCCAGGTTATTGGAAAATGGGTGAAACCCCTTGGCGAAAGCTATCTATGGCTAATATCTGCCTACACAGACAAGATTAATTATGGCAAACACAACTGCCCAGCCCCTCTCATAAACAAAGAGAACTACTAAGGATTTTCACTGCTGGAGGGTCCAGAATAGAGCATCTATAATAAATATGATTTTCAAGTTATGCTATGAGAATAAGGATATGTAACAAATATAAAGTAGGTAGGTCACCACAATTCTACCTGACATCCTTCGATTGTAAAATTGACAAAGCAGGCTGGAAAACTGTTGACCAAGTAGCAACTGCACCCAATCAGATGCAGGCACTTTTTGGTGTTTTTGAGAGCTGGCAGTGCCAACTGTCAGAATACAACAGTCACAGAGGAAAAATCGTCCATCTGTACTGTTTAGCCCAGATAGAGTAATGTGTTAGATTTTTTCGTTCAGCTGAAAGCAAATGACGTATGGTCAACTTTAAGCAGCATCTGCAATAATTAGATATTGTACTGTGACAAACTACTATAACCTTTAGGATATGATGCAAATCTGTAGCTTTAGTTGTAGAATATTCAAGTGTACTTTATTTGCTTTAATGGTTTCCTTCATAGGACAAGTGGTCCATAGCAGAGCAATAAAGTTGGCTATACAGATTCCTCCTCCATCCGCACACCATAGCATGGATGGACAAACCTCCCACTGCTGCTATTGTATTTTGATAGCTGGCCCTGCCAGCTGTCGAAATAACCAAACAGTAGCTGCATTTGCAGAAGAATCAGTCAAGGAATATCTGGCAAGAGGATGCTGACAGGGCCACCCACTAAGCCAGTTTAAAGGAACTCAGCCTGGAAACACATGTCAGGAAATATAGTTTTAGAGTAGTGCTCAACAAACATTTGTAGACTGGGCCATGAGAATCAACAAAATATGTTAACGTAGCACTATGGCCTCCCATTAAAAAAATATGTGCTGCAGAATTTATAATAATAAGTGCATCAGCACTTACAGTTTTCTCCTAATCCCATGCAAAATCCCACAAATACATGGTGATTTTGCCAAGGAAGTCTGCCTAATGCAGCTTTCTATGATGGTGTGGCAACATTACTGCTCCTGATTTCAGCATTGTGACTCTCACATAGGCTGTACCTGTTCACACTACAATGAGATGAGAAGATGTTGCAGGGCAGTGGCTAATAGCTTATCACTGTTGACTCACAAGCCTGTAGCTTGTCAATCAACACCTGCCCACATTTAGTCCTGCTTCTTACTGAATTGACAGTACTGAAACCTTCCCACTGTAAGCTGCAGTGTCTGGGAGGGAAGGTGTGTGAGACACAAATAAAAGGAAGGTTTGGCTCACTCAGAAGAGTTTTTTGTTTACTTTATCAATCTTGTGACTATCACAGTAACTGGATTTGGTACTTGTTTAGATTGCCATTCAGGAGGCTTTATTTGTATTTTAACATTTGACCTTTACAGTTCCCATTTTTTGCCTGACTGTCATGATGACGCTATGCTTTTTAAATTACTGACCCAGAAGAAACATGCAGGAGATAAAGTCAGAATTCCCAATCTGCATACTGGTTCCAGGTCAGTGACTTAGTAATGAAGCCTTTAGATCAGCAAACCAGCTAGGCAACTATAAGGAAAAGTCAACAGTGGCAGGCTAAATGCATCTTTCATGACAAGTGTTTTTTAACATAGCTTCCACATTTACTACAAAAAATGAACACCCTTCTTAATGAAGAACAGAGCTAAGGAGCAAAACTAACATAATAGGTTTCATGCAGTTTTTTATTTAAATGGCAGCCTGAGAGTCAGCAATCCAAACACAGAAACATCTCAGTAAAAACTGTACCACTTCAACCAAGTCAAACCAGTACTTTCGAGTCAACGGGATTGATTTACCTAAGGCAAATAGTCTGTTCACTTTGCAAGGGAATTTGATTGGGTATTCTTTACAAAGTGAATTTTCATCACATTAGTTATGCTAAAGGAAAATTCTTTTGCAAAGTGAAAAGCCTATTTCCTAAATAATGCCTTTACTAAATTAACCCTAATATCCACAACTTGAAGGTGGAGCCACAGAAACACACTTACTGACTCTTCTCTAGTTAGCTGTATACACAGCCCTAGTTCAGTAAGCACAAATCATCTTGGATGGTAAAGATGGGGCAAGCAGATGTTTCACAACCTATATTCAGGTAAAGGGGAAGGAGAAACTTAGACAGATTTTGGTCAAAAGGCAGCTGTCACGTACCTGGTTGGGGAGCCTGACGTGGAGAGGAGGCGTCTTCTTACTAATCCCGCTCGGAGCCCCTGATAGTAGGAACAGAGGGCGCAGAGCCAGGAGTGGCACGTGTGCCGGGTTGGTCTGGAGCTGGTAGCAGGCAGGGGTAGACCCAGGAGATCCGGATGCAGGCCAGGTGCGGATGCAGGAACGTGGGTGCAGCAGCAGGCAGGTATGGCGGCAATCAGGATGCAGACCGGGAACGGACACAGGAGTGTGGATGCGGCAGCAGGCAGGTATGGTGGTAACCAGGATGCAGGCCAAGTGCAGGACCGTGGGTGCAGCAGCAGGTAAGTATGGCGGTGTCCAGAATGCAAGCCAGGTGCAGGACCGTGGGTG